TAAAATGGCACCATGAACATTAAATCAGTGTTGAATTAGATTATTTCTGCAGTGTGGATGCAGCCTGTGCCACTCTGGATCTTTCCTGTGGACATGGGACACTTTTATACTTTGCAATAGGCTTAAATTTTCATCAGAGTTAGAAAATTCACTCTGATTAAGGCATTCAATGCATATTTTAAAAATTGGCCAGAAAGAGGGTTAAATAAGTATATAGGTGAAAGAAGAAAATAAGAATAGAATTAATGAAATGTTATTTTGGGCTTTTAAGCTTTAAATGTTGAATTGTCTTCTACTGGGCAAAAAGCAAATACTGTGCTATTATTATCATAATAATCTGTTTCCTCCGAACAGGCTGCAACACATTCCAGCATGGATTCTTAAAATATACAGTGTGAGAAATGCAGCAGGGAAAGTCAACACAGGCTCAGTTTTAACAACGAGGGAGGAAAAAGGAGGGCTGTGTGTGGGTTTGTGTGGTGGCTGCTTCCTTGTTACACTTTCCAATAGTCTGTTGTAACTTGTCTTCCCAATAGCCTGATGTAACTGTGAAAAACTTTCTCAAGCAGGCATTTCAAAAGAAACGAGGGTTCTCATAACTATTTGGCCTTTGAATCCTAAAACCCATACTATACCAGGGCAAGACATTCTCACCATGGGGTGCAGATTATTGTTTATGGTGGCAATTATCTTTGCTTATTTATGTAAAAACTATATATTTATTTATATCTTGCTTTTCTCCAAGCACAGAATTGAAGGTGACTTACAACAGGTTAAGACAAAGTATGGCTAAAGCCTATTCATACAAAAGTTTTTTTTTTTTAAAAAAAATACATTTTTAAAAAGAAAAGTTTAAAAGTTTAAGAAACACATTCAGAATATAATAAGATACAGCATACTGCATAATATAATAATTACTGCAGAATATAATACTGCAGTAATTATTGCAGAATATAATAAGACACAGCATGCTGCATAAAAAACCCCATATTCCTTAAAAACCAAAGGCCTGCCTAAATAAAAATGTATTTGCACTGAAAGGTTTAATTTGCTTATTCCTATATATTGAAAGTACGACTAAATATCTTAAAAGTATGACAAAAGTGACTTCTTGAAAATTTCACACTAGTGGGGTAGATATTTATATTTCTAGATGAGGTAACTATTTAAAGATTTTAGTATAAATATTTAAGTTAATAAATCTAGCATGGCAAAGAGAAAGCTAAACTAGACTTCTTCTCCCTGAGACCAATATTTTGTGATCAGCTAGAGCTTAGTTGTTTTTATGTGCAATATATGGAGAAATATTCAGTCATGCTTACACCTTTTGCACTATATTTTTGATACTGTCCAGGGATTGTTTTTCTGTTAGTACAAAAAAAAACAAACAAAAAAAAACCCCAAAAAACCCAGTCACATAAAGAAACCAATCACAAAAAGAAACCAATCAGAGGAGGATTTTCTTGGTATAAATGAGAAGTGATAAGAAACATTTTATTAGTTTACTTTGGTTTATTAAAGGTATAGGAGTAGGGATGGGAGTAAAACATACTGCCTCGGCAGACGGCTAATTGAGCCGTCTTCCGGGCAAGGAAGAGGAGGGGCAGCCGCACGAGCGGCGCCCCTTCCTCTTCCTGAGGTCACCCCCGGAGCTTCCGGTTCACCGGATGGCCGGCGCTCCGGGGGTGACCTCATGGCACAGCGCCCAGATGCGCTGCGCCGTTTGAGTCGGGGAAAGTGCGCCCGCCGATTAAAACAGACCAAACAAATTTTCATCTCAAATTCCTCAGCAAAAAAGGTATTTTTAAACCAAATATCAGAGAGACCAACTGAAGCATAATAAGGACGGCCGGCGCTCCGGGGGTGACCTCACGGCACAGCGCCCACACCTGTGCCTTTAACAGCCTGACAGAAATAAGCCAGTCACAGAAAGA